TGTGAATGTATGTGCTGTGCGCTATGATGTAATTGCATTCAGGTTGTGTTCCCTAATTGGCTGGGATTACCTAGCAAAAGTGAATATTCTCAAACTGACAAATGGAACAGGTGAAGGTTCATATTTGAGGGAAACCAAACTCCAAACAGGTGTGGGCAGCCAACTACTCAAAGGAACGATATCTCCCTGAAAACCACGCCTTTCACACCAAAAATGTATTGTCCTGAAAATTTAGCACAGCGTAGGCAGAACTGTGGGGCTTATTGCAATATCATAATGTGAGATATGAAAACTAGGCTACATACCTTTCTTTAAAACGTTTCTAAAGCGTATGGCAATATTCAGGCGTCATGGTCAGATGAAGCCTATCTAATGTGAGACTAATTAACTCATTTGCCCTCTTTTGTCATCCTTCCCAGGGGCAAAGCCAAGCATTGTATATTTTCTATGACCAGAATTACATTGATTGCTGGGTCCTAAAATGAACTGCGTTTTGCCTGAATCAGTAAGGGAAAGGCGGTTAGGGCAGGAGGCAGGATTTTAAAATATAGGTTCAGGTGCCTTTCAAGGCTGGGAGGCCCAGATTTGGGCTTCTATTTTTGATCTTATCTATTTGTACAGCACATGTAATTTTGAATGACTTTTGCTGCCACAAATGAATGCTTCAGTGCAGCATCCCGGCATCAGGTAAATAATTAACTCTCAGACCTAGTCCCCAACTGCAGTAATAAACCTGTGTCTGGGCTGTACACTTCAGAACACTTCTTCCTGGCATCCATATTTCCTCCCTGTCTGGGGATTTGTTTTCTCATCACCATTTCCTCTATTTCCAATGTTCAGGTGGTAAGTGCTGTTCCAGACCCCCCCCCAAGTGTCCCTATTTTCCAGGAACAGTCCTGGATTCACAGAAGCCACCCTGGTTTCTGATCTGATCCCAGAATGTCCCGCTTTTCCTTAGGACGTCCCTATTTCCATCAGAGAAATGTTGGCAGGTATGCAGTTATCTGACCCCCCAAGCCATCTGAAGGCAGCCCTTTATAAGGAAGTTTTTTTTAAAAAAAAATGTTTAATGTTTTATTATGTTTTTATATATGTTGAAGCTGCCCAGAGAGGTTGGGGTAACCCAGTCTGCTGAGTGGGATATAAATATTAAAATTATGATGATCTTGATGGAATAGTAAAGGGTAAAGGGACCCCTGACCATTAGGTCCAGTCTTGGCTCTACTCTGGGGTTGTGGTGCTCATCTCACTTTACTGCCCGAGGGAGCCGGTGTACAGCTTCCAGGTCATGTGGCCAGCATGACTAAGCCGCTTCTGGCGAACCAGAGCAGCACACGGAAACGCTGTTTACCTTCCCGCCGGAGCGGTACCTATTTATCCACTTGCACTTTGACGTGCTTTCGAACTGCTAGGTTGGCAGGAGCTTGATGGAATAGGATGTCCCTATTTTCATCAGAGAAATGTTGGTGGGGATGCTGTGCCTTTTGTAGCCAACATGACCCCACCCATGCACAAGACCAGGGTATCAGTAGGCTTGGGGAAACTTAAAGGTTTGCAGAAGTCCAAACAATATATATATATATATTTGGTGCAGGGACCCAAAACAGCCCAATTCATGCTCTCACTGTCCATTGAATGCTGATTGGCTGATTGGTGGTGGTGATAGGAAGATGGAAATTGGGGGTGGAATGGGTGAAATCCCAAACAGGAAACACACTACTTCACAATATCTTGGTGGAGGTTCCACTTGTATGTACTAATAGCAGCCTCAGTCTCCCAGTGCCTGTCTCGTACTAGTCAAAATGGTACCACTCATGTGCAAGACATGGTGGTTTGCTTTTTGGATCCTGGGTCTGTGGTTCTCCACCTTTGTTGTAAAGAAAAACTTTTTTTCCATTATATTTCCCTTTTCCCTCCCAACCCCACCTTCTCTGTTCTTATCTTCCCAACATCAACATTGCCGAAGAAGGCTGTAGCAGGCATAGGCAAACTTCGGCCCTCCAGATGTTTTGAGACTACAACTCCCATCTTCCCTAGTTAACAGGACCAGTGGTCAAGGGATGATGGGAATTGTAATTCCAAAATATATGGAGGGCCGGATTTTGCCTATGCCTGGTCTATAGGATTACTAGGCAAGGACCACGTCGCTCCAGTGTTTAGTGTCTCATGCACAGAACAGTTGTAATGCTTTTCTCAGTGGGCTCTCAGAGCTTGTCCAGAAGGCACCTCTGATGTTCACACAACCACATTTGGGTGCCTTGAGAGAAATAACTAACAGCTAGCAAAGGAGGAGTTTGGACTTGATATCCCGCCTTTCACTCCCCTTAAGGAGTCTCAAAGCGGCTAACAATCTCCTTTCCCTTCCTCCTCCACAACAAACACTCTGTGAGGTGAGTGAGGCTGAGAGACTTCAGAGAAATGTGACTAGCCCAAGGTCACCCAGCAGCTGCATGTGGAGGAGCGGAGACACAAACCCGGTTCACCAGATTACGAGTCCACCGCTCTTAACCACCACACCACACTGGCTCAAAGACACACACACACACACGGAACATAAGTCTTTTGAAGCTGACATGTCTAATCCTCTTAAGCTTGACCATTACTTTGCACAAAAATACTCAACTGGCCTAAATGCTATTGTGTCAGCAACATCTCATTCAAAGTTGAGCAAAAAAAACCCCCAGTGTCTGGGTTGCTTTGGAGCAAAATCACCTGTTAGTAAGCTGACATCCGTTGGAAGCTGTCATCATGAAAATAAAATATGTTCCTCAAATTCTTTGCAGATAGACAATAATTGCATCAAGGAGAATGTGGCCTTAGAAATAATTTGCCACCCTAGGCTCCTTTGGGAAGAAAGGCAAGATATATACTGAATGAATGAATGAATGAATGAATGAATGAATGAATGAATGAATAACATATAGAAGAGTTGTTTTCTAGAGCAGTGGTTTTCAACCAGTGTGCCATGGCACCCTGGGGTGTCTTGAATGATGGTCAGGGATGCCATGTGCAACACTGGCCTCTGTCTCTCTTTCCTTCCCTCCCTCCTCTGATGCCCTCTTGTATCTCTGCCTCCCCAAGGCTTGCACAGCTGTTTGTTGCAGCAGCCCTGGCTACAAGCTCCCCAGGCGATTGGTGCCTCTGGGGCTGGTCAGGGGGTGCTTCCCAGTCCCCTGTGGGGCAGTGTGTGCAGGCACCTCTCTTTGGGGTGGGGGTGGGGAGTTCAGAGACCAGGAGTGGCAGCAGCGGCTGTCCGGAGGACTCCAAAGGAGAGGAGGGGAGAGGAGATGGGGCTGAGGGAACATTCCACAAGGGGGGTGTTCGAAAAAGGATGAGAGGCTGCCAGCTCTGCAGGCAAGGGGTGACATAACTGGGATCCTGAGCCCCACAGGGACACCGCAGAAAGAATGTAGTTAGTCAAGGGAGCCATGGACCCAAAAAGGTTGAAGACCTCTGGTCTAGAGCAATATTGTTGTATGAACATATCCCATCTGCAATTATTAAGTGGTATAAGTGGTATGGGATGCGAGTGGCGCTGTGGGTTAAACCACAGAGCCTAGGACTTGCTGATCAGAAGGTTGGCGGTTCGAGTCCCCGCGATGGGGTGAGCTCCCATTGCTCGGTCCCTGCTCCCGCCAACCTAGCAGTTCGAAAGCACGTCAAAGTGCAAGTAGATAAATGGGTACCACTCCGGCGGGAAGGTAAATGGCGTTTCCATGCGCTGCTCTGGTTCGCCAGAAGCGGCTTAGTCATGCTGGCCACATGACCAGGAAGCTGTACGCCGGCTCCCTCGGCCAATAAAGCGAGATGAGCGCCGCAACCTCAGAGTCAGCCACGACTGGACCTAATGGTCAGGGGTCCCTTTACTATGGGTCTAGTACAGGTCCACCACCTCAATGGGAACTAATTTAAGGCTGCATTTCTAGATACTTTTAATGGGGATTAAGCCCCATTGAACATAGCTGAGCTTATTTCTGAGTAAACATGCATAGGATTGTGGTCTTAAATATTATGAATTTTATGGATGACATTTGTATACCACCTTTCCTCTGAGGAGCTCCAAAAAGAAAGCCTGGTTCTCTCTCCTCCACTGTATCCTACCCTGTGAAGTAGCTTAGGCAAACAGGCAGTGGCTGTTTCAAGATCACCCAGTGAGCTTTGTGGTAGGGGTCTCTGCCCAGTCATCACCCAAAGATCACTCAGGGGATCTTTGGGAGCCATCAGTAATTTATTTTTTTTAATGATGGACAGATTTGGGGGGTCTTGGGGAAACCACAAAAAATGTTTGGCATTACAGTGGAGTACCTATGAGTCGGGGGGGGGGGACTTCAATTGTTCAAAAGCACAGATGTGTGGAGTGGGATGCTTTCGGAGGGCCACAAATAATCTTTTGGCAGCACAGTACCATAGCAGGGCATGGCACCCTTGGGAGTACAGTGGTACCTCAGGTTAAGTACTTAATTCGTTCCGGAGGTCCGTTCTTAACCTGAAACTGTTCTTAACCTGAAGCACCGCTTTAGCTAATGGGGCCTCCCGCTGCCGCTGCGCTGCCGGAGCACGATTTCTGTTCTCATCCTGAAGCAAAGTTCTTAACCTGAGGTACTATTTCTGGGTTAGCGAAGTCTGTAACCTGAAGCGTATGTTACCTGAAGTGTATGTAACCCGAGGTACCACTGTAGTGGTAAAAAATAAATAAATAAATAAAACCATTTGTAATTTTTTTTTTTAAGGGAGGGAATGGGGGCCTTGAGGGACCTACAATAAAACCTTTTGACACCATAGCATCACATTGAGAGATTCATAGGAGCATTTCTTTCTTCTTTTTTTTAAAAAGACACTTTTGGGGGGCCTGGGAAGCTCCCACAAAATCTTTCTTGGGGCTAGATGAAGGCTGCTGGGCTGCAGTACCCCTGCTCTTGTGCTATTGCATGTCTCTGAGAACGCCCGCAGGTTACTAGTATGCCGTAGGGCCTGACGTGTATCCTTCTTGTGTCTTTTAGAAGACACAACTGAAGCCATCCAGAATTCCCAAGACGAATAAAGGCTGAGGCGCTTGGAAAGCCCTTCTGCAGTCTGCATCATTTTTGTTAGTGTTGCTGATCACACCGGCCTTCCTTTTTCTCTGCCGGGCAGAGTTGCTGGACCTATTTCCTCCGCTGGTGAACCTTTAATCTTTTCGGATTGGAAACGTTGCCCTCAATATCAACAACGCTCAGCCTTGAGCTTAAGCAAACACCCAACAGAAAAAGAGACAAGAGACTCGGGTCAGTCTTGTCAGCTTCAGACCAGGTGGCCGAGAGCAGACAGGCAGCAAACGGGTTTCCGCAGAGCAAGCCCAGAATCAATGGACAGTTTGGAGGGTTCACGGTTGTCAATGATGAAGGAAGTGTTTGACAGCTTGCAACTGGTAAGAGCTGCGCAGAACTCTCTGCTTAGATCTCTTCTGCTCTGTTTTAAAAGTGATTGCTAGGTAGATTGCTGTGTGTGTTTTCAACTGCTTCTCTGAATCTTAAGATTTCTGGATTCTAGCTAAAATTCCAGTTTATCCAGAGTATGGCCCTCCCTTCCTTGCAAAACGCAAACTTCTTGCCTTTCGTGTCTTGATTCAGCTGCTAATTCATTGCAAGTTTCTCTGTGGTTCATTGGCAAAAAGAGAGTTAATTTGGGGGTGGATGGGTTTGGAATATAGGAATATCTGCTAAAACCAGAAGAAATAACAGCAACACGCAGGGTGTCTCTCTAAGGTGGTAGCTGAATTATTCAGACACATGCCCAGGTGAGTGCCATAGGAACAATAAACAATACCCAGTCAGTCTGCACCACCAACACTGTAGAAATAAATGAGATTGCAAGGCCAGCAGTGACTGTGCTATCAACACAGAGTCTTATGAGCCACCATTCAGATTAAATGAGGTAAAATATGGACTAGTGTTTTGATGCCATGGCTGCTGTGTGGATATTGTGAACATTTTGCATGCACGCGGAACATGCATCCCATGATAAACACCTGTCTGGAAGCACCCATTGTTTCTGTTTTTAAAGTGGTACCGGTAATTTGGTCCCTGGAGCAAGAAACAGGCACAGTGGAAGCTTGCAACTGGCCAGAATTGAAGTTTGAATGTGATTATATTTCAGGCATACCTTCCCTTCTCTGTTTCATGGCATTCTGAACTGATCGCCATCAGAGACAGGATGCTTGGCTGGAGGAAGTACTTCAGGGATGGCACAGAAACCTTTACTTGACATTTTTAAATGGGGAACAGATTTTTACAGCTTAATTTGATGAGGAATAAAAGCAGATGCATTAATTATTTGTATTATTAAAATTGTTTATATGCTGTCTTTCATTTCAAGAAGAAATACCAAGGTGGTTCACTGTGGTCACTGTTGTGACTCTTAAGATCAGAGTGAATAATAATAATAATAATAATAATAATAATAATAATAATAATAATAATTCATTATGGTTAGTGTTCATAACTCTTGAGGAAAGTACTGGGGAACCTCTAATTTTCCAGATGTTGACTATGGCCACATACACCTCATTAATTTAAAGCACTATGATTACCACTTTAAACAGGCATGGCTTCCCCCAAAGAATTCTGGGAGCTGTAGTTTCTTAACAGTGCTGAGAGTTCTTAGGAGACATCGATTCACCTCACAGAGTTTCTGTTCTTAGAGTTGTCTGTGAAGAGGGATTGATTGCTAAACCACTCTGGAAAATGTAGCTCCATGAGGAGAATAAGAATCTCCTAAGAGTGATCAGATTTCTCAACCAACTATATGGTTCCCATGATTCTTTGGGAGAATCCATGACCGTTTAAAATGGCACGATACTGTTTTAAATGTATAGTGCAGTTGTGGCCCAGCTTTGGAAACGTGTGTGCCAATCTCGTGTCAATTTCAACTGTCCAGTTTGGAACACAGAGGAAGATGGTGAGCTCTTGAGCAGAACTGGGGACCAGGTAGGCTGGGATTTCACAGTGACATTGACACAGGATCTTAATATACCATTCAACATTTTTGTTCCAATCAACCCAGAGAAGAAGGCAAATATGGTAGATAGGTAGACGGAAGGCATTCACAATTCTTAGCTGGTGTGTCCTGATTTTCATCAGGTGCATCAGTCTATGCAAACCCCATTACAGTGGTACCTCTGGTTGCGAACAGGATCCGTTCCGGAGGCCCATTCGCAACATGAAAAGAACACAACCCGCAGTGGTGCGTCTGTGCACGCGCGGGTTGCGATTCACTGCTTCTGCACATGCACATGATGTCATTTTGCACTTCTGTGCATGCGCAAGTGGTGAAACCTGGAAATAACCCTTTCCGGTACTTCCGGGTCACTGCGGGACGTAAACAGAAAGAACGTAACATGAAGCAGACGTAACATGAGGTATAACTGTATGTGAATGCAATGGACTACACTGAGCTTTGGGCATTCCAACACAAGTCATGCTAAACACACTTTGAGGGATATGCCGAAAGCCAAACCTGGGCAGGACTCAACCTGAAGGCATGCATGCATAGCACACAACTAGCACAGGTCAACAGGACGGGAGGTTAGCAATGCTCTGGTTGGCAACAGTGGCTTCCATGGATTGAGGTGAGTTCTTGAGGATGCCTGGCAACACGCTGCTGGAAACTAACATTCTGTTAGTTGACCTAACATTCTAAGACAGACCTTTGGTCCAACCAACAGAGTTCTTCTTATGTTATGCCTTGTCTCGGCTCTTTTGCGTCAGTGTGCTGCATCTGAAAGAAAGGCAGAATTCTCTCAGGGAAATGTATCATTCTGAATTAGGATATGCAGCAGTTAGCAAGTGTCACTGATATTAATGGAATTACGATGCCAAGGAATGGATGTGAGTGTGAAAGCATTTCCCTTTACACAGCGTTTTGGATGGCCCCATCACAGAGGTGATGAAAGGTTGCATGCTATGTTGCCCAATTGTATTCTCGACCCCATCCCAGGCCACTTGGCTGCAAGAAAAATGAAATACCAAAACTAATGTCAATATTTAGAGTTTGTACTATCTTTAGTTCCTGTTGCACCAGTTTTTAGCAAGTGAGCCGATCAATTAAATTTCCCTTTTTAGACCTGGCATCTAACCAAAAGCTAAAAATAGAAGACCCAAGGTCCTTTGGCTGCTAATTTAGGCACTGATCTTCTGAGCATTCCGTAGATATAGAACTTGGATTTAGAGTGGAAAAAATGTGGGGCAAAGATTTAAATCCACATTTCCAAGTAGTGGTTGTCGGAGTTGTGTGTGGAGAGTATGTGAGGTCGGAGTTTTCTTGGTGTTTCTTTCTCCCCCATTGATGAAGTGCTGACTTATGCCTTCTTAACTCTTCTATTTGGCAGCGATTATACTTGTGCATAATGTAAGAGAGCATATGGAGGCAAGGAAGAGAGATTTTTTAAAAACATGCTTGTGCATTCTTAACTGTAGATGAAGCACATTATCTTCAATAATGCATGTGTGTGTGTGTTGCCATTATTACAAGTCATTTCATTATTATTATTTTTATTAAAATAATTCAACATTAATACATACATATTACAAATATACAGACAAACATACATTTCATACAATCCTTAAAAATATTCATACATACCCACACTCAATCCCGCAGATACTTCCTTTGCCCACCCCCCCTCACCCCACCCTTGTGTTAGACTTCCAATCTACTCAATTGCAATTTCTTTCCACTTCTATTACTTTCTTTCACACACTTTTAAGCCAACTTTCTACTTCTTTTTATGTTACACATTGTTATCCATCTTGTTTAGTATTTCAGTATTTATAACGGAACCTGTTTATTCTAATAGGAGTTCTGATTTTTCAATATGATTTGGAAGTATAAGTCATTTCATTATTACAGTGATATCCCACTAAGAAGATGTGAAACATCTTGCTCACTATGGTCTCCCAGAGTTTCAGGCAGGGTTCTTTCCCAGTGTGACCTGGAGATACCAGGGATTTGGAACCTTTTGTGTGCAAAGCAAGTGCTCTACAACTGATGTTAAGAACATAAAAAAGTCCTGCTAGATCAAGCTAAGTACCCACCTAGTCTAGCATTCTTCTCTCACTGTGGCCAACCAGATGTCTGTGGGAAGCCCACAAGCAGAATTTAAGCACCACAGCACTTTCCCCTCCTGCCATTCCTAACAACTGTTATTCAGAGGCATTCATCTTCAGAGCAGGAGGTGGGTCTGAGTAATTCCTGGGGGAGGCTTAACACGCACACAAATCACTTTATGTTGGAGCTGGTTGTATCAGGTCAGACAACTGATCCATCTAAGTTCAGGGACAGGCACTGAATAATTAAGCTGGAATGACGTGACACTGCTATGTTGCTAAACAAGAAGTACCGTATTTTTTGCTCTATAAGACTCACTTTTTCCCTCCTAAAAAGTAAGGGGAAATGTGTGTGCATCTTATGGAGCGAATGCAGGCTGCGCAGCTATCACTGAAGCCAGAACAGCAAGAGCGATTGCTGCTTTCACTGCAGCGATCCCTCTTGCTGCTTTCACTGCAGCGATCCCTCTTGCTGTTCTGGCTTTTGAGATTCAGAATATATTTTTTCTTGTTTTCCTCCTCCAAAAACTATGTGCGTCTTGTGGTCTGGTGCGTCTTATAGAGCGAAAAATACGGTAATACAATGGGCAGAAGCTGCAAGGAGGAAGCTACTAACATACCCTGCAACATTTTCCGATGAAAACAGGGACATCCTATTCCATAATTATAATAAATATAATTTTATACCCTGTCCATCTGACTGGGTTGGCCCAGTCACTCTGGGCAGCTTTCAACATATATAAAAACATAACAAAACATTAAACATTAAAAAACTTCCCTATACAGGGTTGTCTTCTGATGTCTTCTAAAGGTTGCTACTTATTTCCTTGGCTCGAAGGTTGCATAACTCCATACTCTCCAAAATATCTCTAATTTTAATATTTATATCCCACTCAGCAGACTGGGTTACCCCAACCTCTCTGGGCAGCTTCAACATATATAAAAACATAATAAAACATTAAACTTTTTTTTTTAAAAAAAGTCCTTATAAAGGGCTGCCTTCAGATGGCTTGGGGGGTCAGATAACTGCATACCCGCCAACATTTCTCTGATGGAAATAGGGACGTCCTAAGGAAAAGCGAGACATTCCGGGATCAATTCAGAAACACAGACAGCTTCTGTAAATCCAGGACTATCCCTGGAAAATAGGGACACTTAGAGAGTCTGTATTAATTAAAGGCACAATGGCCTTGAAAATCCTCGATGGATTTGTCAGCTATGCCACTCCACACTAGATATGTTAATATTGCAGTTCCCTTTTAGCATAGGAAAAAGATAACCACAAATCAGGTCTAAAAAAAGTTGGGAGGATGACAGAGAAAGCACTGGAATGGAAAAGGCTAGCTTTGCAGTTGTCTGGGATTCCCAGCAAATAATAATGATAAAACGAGTGAACGAAACATGGAAATTCCAGACCACAATCTCTTGGAGTATAGGAGCTGCTGTCCCTTGACTGTCCTGTGGGCTATGCATAGGGCAGATAAAAAGCTGGTTCGAGTCTGAGAAATGGCACCCTTTTTGGATCAGAAATGCTGACCTACTGTTTTCTACATAAACAGCAAATGAAGGCCAGTGGTGATAGGTAGAGTGCATTGACCCTCTTCACAAGGACACCCAAATCCTTACATAATTCTAGCAGGAGTTTAATATAGGACAAGAGTTGAAGGTATCATTACAACATGAAGTGGTGGCATGCAGACTCCACCTGCACCCTTTAAGTGACTCTGTTGACACATGCTATACTTTACCCATCTTCTTGGACATTTGCTTGTGTGTCTTCTCATGTAGGTGGAGCAGATCCTCTCAGAATTCCGGCTACAGGAACAGGATCTGAAGAAGGTGATGCATCGGATGCAGAAGGAGATGGACCGGGGCCTGAAGCTGGAGACACATGAGGAAGCCTCTGTGAAGATGCTGCCCACTTATGTACGCTCTACCCCTGAGGGATCAGGTAAGCAACAATGGTGGTCATATCATTTTGGTGCAGCTCAGGAGGTCTGATCTAAAACCAACCCAAGGATACTAGCATAGGGGTAGGTAACCTGTGGCCCTCTAGAAGTTGCTCAACTCAACTCCCATCATCTAGGCAACAGGAAACCTGGGCAATGGCCAGGGATAATGGGAGTTGTACTCCAACAGCATCTAAATGGCCAGATGTTCCCCACGACCATGCTATTGTCCAGAAGCAGCTCACCAAACAGGGCTTCTTGGCAGGTGAGTCACTGTTGCTTACCAGGATGGAATGGGGGAGAGGAGAGGTGGCAAGGAGATTGGCATGGTGCAAATGCATTGGCAGGGACCCTGAATTGGTTCTGCCAGTGCATTTGTGCTGCACTGACCTTACTGCTTCTCCACCCCTTCTCCTTCCAGGAAGCAATAGTGACCCACTTACTGGGAGCTTTGTGGCTCTACCCCATCCAACAAACCACTTCTGCTAGTACGTCTTCTGAACTCTTATGCCCTGACTCTGATCCAATGTTTACTATAATTGAGCTGTTCTCATTCTAGGTTGCTGGCCCATTTAATGAATGTCAGAGACTGCAGTAGATTAACAGTAACTCTTTTATGGTATAAAAGTGACTATACAGTAGCCCTAATAAACTCACTAATGCAGAACTTATTTGCGCTTTAGTCCTAATCTAGTTTCACTTCCCATGCCATAGCCCGCCCTTTCAGGATCCAATTTACAAACAACTGAGCGAAACAATGAGCTGCATGAACAACCCTTAGTAACTTTTGTACCCTGAGGTGATGACTAGACTGTCAGTCAGCTCTAATAGCACCTGGGGATTATTCTGCTCTGTAATTGATTGCTATTCCTATCTAAAGAATGATTAGTCTCTGTATTGTTCATTTCCTGATCTGCACTGCTGATGTTTCAGGATCTTGGTCTATTGAAGCTTTGTTCTCCTGCTAGCTCTGTCCTTAAACTTGTTGATTGTATGGCTGGATATGATTCTGGCACAAGTCTCACGTGTTTTCTGCTCCTTCTAAATGTATCACTGTTGGTCATCACAGCATTGGATTGTGGTGTCAAATAGTGCCCCTGCCCCTAGTTCTGACCATCACCTCTGATTGTCAAGTTTTATTCTCACCCGTGAACCAGGATGTAGTTTTAGTAATGCTTTTACCCCGTAGTGTTTATCAAACTGTAACTTATATAGGCTTTTCTGCCTTTTTATCTGCTACATGGACTTCCTTCAGATCAGGCTACTGGGGATACAGGTCTGTTTCCAGGGTCAGAACTGCTTCTTCGTTGTTGACCCATTAACAACTATGCTGGGCTGTTGGTTGCGTTAATTGCAGTTGCTCTATCGCTCACTTAAAATGGATCTTCTTTTTTCAGGCTCTGCTTTGTAGTTTGGATTGCTCTTTGTGACTCCCCATTGGCTTGTAGGTAGTGTTGGCAATGTGGCTAAAATTACATTTCTTTGTGAACTGGGAAAACTCCTTCTCTGCAAATTGTGGGGCATTATTTGTTACAAGTTCATCAGGCCCCTGTCTGACAAATACAGTCCTTAAACAACTGGTGGTGGTAGAATTTGTAAGATCAAACATGTGTGCTATTTCTAGATACTTAGAAAAATAGTCCATATACGTAGCAACCAGGTACTTATGCTCATGTAATTCATAAATGTCTGTTCCAACTCTTTTCTAAGGTCTGTCCGGTAATGGAGTAAAAGTGGTTTCTTTTGCTGAGTGGCTCTATTCTAGTGGCAGAAACATCACTATTTTCTTTTTTATATATAATTTTATTTATAAACGTTACAACAATTATTCAGCCATAATTCTAACATTTCAGACTTCGACTCCCTTCCCCCTCTTTCTGTGGTTCTTTACATTTATTTTCATCCTTTCCTGCATACTCCAAATTATCTTATTCTTCTAATCATCTATTCTCATATATATCTCAGATATGTTTTTGAAACTGCAGGTTTTTACAATAATCCTGCCAATGTCTCGATCTGTTTACAGTTTATTTGTAAAGACTCAATAAACCATTTCCATTCCTTTCTAAAAAAAAAGTTATCTTGATTTCTTATTCTTCCAGTAAGTTTCGTCATTTCTGCATACGCCATTAATTTCTGTAACCATTCTTCTCTCATCAGAACCTCTTCTTCCTTCCATTTTTGGGCAAATAACATTCTTGCAGTTGTGGTTGCATACATAAATTTCTATACTGTTTAGGTAGTTCTGATCCCATAATTCCCAAAAGGAAAGCTGCTGGGTTTTTCTACAAATGTTATCTTAAATGGCTTTTTCCGTTCATTATATATTATTTCCCAGTAAGCTTTAACCTTGTTACAAGGCCACCACATATGGAAAAAGGTACCTTTTCCAACACTTACTCGATTTTTATTTATACATTTTTGACAATCTACTAGGTGTTAGGTACCATTTATATAACATTTTCATATAATTTTCTCTTAAACCATAACATGCTGTAAATTTTATATCCGTATTCCATAATCGTTCCCATGCTTCTATTTCTATGTTATGACCAATATCTATTGCCCAATGTAACACTGAAGATTTCACTTGTTCGTTCTTTGTCTCCTATTCCAATAACATCTTATACATCTTAGATATCACTTTAACATTACAGTTTAACAGATCTCTCTCTAGTTGTGATAGTTGTTCTCCAAACTCCTGCTTCATATCCTTTTTAACTATTTCATTCAAATGATGATATTGTAACCATGTTGTTAGCATCCCTGATAAATCCTTAAACTCTTTTAATTTAAATTCTCCACTCTCCTCTCTTAGCAAATTTCAATAAATTCCCCAACTTTCCATCATATTTTTCTTTTTCACCACTATGGCTTCCAAAGGTGAAAGCCAAACTAGCGTTTTAGTATCCAATAAATGTTATATTTATCCCATATTCTAGACAAATTTGTCCTAATTATATGGTTGGTGAAACCTTTATGCACTTTCATCTTTTCACACCACAAATAAGCATGCCAAAATATTATCATGACCTTCCAAATCTAAAATATGTGATTCTTCAATAACAACCATTCCTTCAGCCAGCACAGACAAGATGCTTCATAATATAATCTCATATCCGGCAGGGAGAAACCTCTCTCTTTTGCATCTATCAGTATTTTATATTTTATTCTCAGTTTTTTCCCTTGCCAGATACATTTAGAAATATCTTTTTGCCATTTGTTGAAACAATCTGTCTTGCCAATCACCAGTATTGATTGAAACAAAAATAACATTCTTGGTAATACATTCAATTTTATGGTTGGCACTCTACCCAACAATGAAAGTTTCATTCTACCCCATACACTATTTGCAAATTTCTTTTACTATCCTCTCAAGTTTTCAAATAGTTAACTTTATACCAATTTATATTCTTTGCTGTTAACCATACACCTAAATATTTAGCCTTCTTTTCAATCTTTAGATCTGATATATTTTGTAGTTTATTTTTACTCTCATCATTCATGTTTTTAACCAGGAGCTTGGTTTTATCCTTATTAATTTTAAGACCTGCTATTTCTCCATTTTTTAATCTCTTCTACAGTAGTGCTTTCAGAATTGACTCTATTGGTTCTTCTCCAGATATCACCACATTGTCTGCAAATGCTTTTAATTTATATTGTCTCTGTCCCACCCTTATTCCTTTAATTTATTGATTACATCTTACTCTTTGCACCAAAAAATAATAAAGGTGACAGCGGGCAGCCTTGTCTAGTTCCTTTAGTTATTTTACAGTTGTCAGTCAATACATTATTTACTATCAGTTTTGCTGATTGTTCTGTATATATTGCCTTGACTCCTTTTATAAAAGTCCCAGGAGACATTATCAAATGCTTTCTCTGTCTAACAACATTAAGGTTGCTTGCTTTTCATTTCTGACTTTTAAAAATTCTGTTACATTGATTATATTTTTAATATTATCTTTCATTTGTCTTCCTGGCAAAAATCCGGCCTGATCTTGATGGATTTCCTCTTTTGATACAGCTTTCAACCTATTAACTAATATAGCTGCAAAAAGTTTATAATCATTATTCAACAAATATATAGGTTGATAGTTCTTAAAAAACTCTTAGGAATCAAAGTTATATATGCACTCTTCCTGAGTGCTGTGTACACACTCCCATTTACTACACACTCCCATTTACACCCAGTGTGCTTCCATTGCTGGTTTGTGAAGCTGTGTACACATAATGTTAACAGCAATCCATATCTATCCCATAGTTTCTTGAGAATCACTGTGGTTTGCTGCATTTCTTACCAAACTAGCTACAATCTGATTGATTCCATAAGCACATCCACACACACCCTTCTGCCCACTAATGTGGACAGATAGCGGGTGGCTGGGAAACACATCAAATCATACTGATATGTACAATGATTTATGAATGTGGTTTGAAATACAGCAGAAAAATATTTAAGCTGGCAATGTGCAGACAGTCATAGTCTTGCACGCTCTCTATATTTGATGATGCCCTGGTACCCTTCACAGAGTTTCACTAAGACATCTTGTCTCATCTCAGCAGGAATGACAATTCAATTTCTACAAAGGTCTAAGCCTTTGTGTGAGCCTTTCTCATTCCACAAAAAGGGGTTTGAGCTTGGCTGGGATGCTCCTCTATTCATTTAAGCCAGGCATGGCTAAACATCATCCCTGACCACTGGTCCTGATAGCTAGGGATGATGGGAGTTGTAGTCCCAAAACAGCTGGAGGGCCAAGTTTGGCCATGCCTGATTTAAGTAGTGTAGTATGTTTGCCAGTTTTGGTAGAAATCTGCCTCAACACTGTACCATGCCCAATAAGCTTTTCAACTCAACAATGGATTCTGGTGGGCTAATTCCTGAAATAGCTTCCACCTTCTTAGGATCAAGGCTCATACTATATTCATCTATGCAATGGCCCAGGTGCCCATTCTGTCCTACCAATTCCAGTGGTCCCCAGCCACCCACCACTGGTCCTAAATGGCAATTCTCTCAGCTTTTTCTTACACACTTGTCTTTAGAAAATAGAAGTCAGGCAAGCACCCCGTCACCATAGGTGTTGACATGAATCACCCTGCCTCTTAATTACAACCCTGCAGTTGAGTTGGGTTCTTCTAGGATCTGTGTACAAGGCAACCTAGCCCAGGTGGCCCCCCAAAGACTAAACTGACATGTCACACTCTGGGATTGCAGAGGTGGGAGATTTTCTGTCTTTGGATCTCGGGGGCACCAATTTCCGAGTCATGCTGGTGAAAGTGGGTGAAGGTGAAGAAAAACAATGGAATGTGAAGACAAAGCACCAGATGTATTCCATACCGGAGGATGCCATGACGGGAACAGCTGAAATGGTGAGTCAGATGATCAGGTGAAATCAACCAGGTTACGTATTGCATTATGACTTGCAGGTGTTCAGGAATGGGAGGAGGCTTGCCCTTGGGAAGGAGGGAGGCCACATTGTCAGACTCAGAGGCAATGTAGTCCACGGGGCAAAATGTTGGGCCTGGCCTGGCCCTGAGTTCAAACCCTTTCAAAGAATGGCTCTCACTCTCAATTCAGAACCTTCCACAGATGTCTCCAGCTGTCCAGGACAATTGACATACCCTTTGTCTAAACCCAAACTGTGATCTCGCATTGCAAGACAAACTCAGTTGACTCCATTTGCATCTGATGAATGCTTATGCCATGAGAAAAATAGTTAGACATAAAATGTTGGAGTCAATGTAGTGCTGAACAGGTCATTCCACCTGCACAAGGATTTCTCCTTGTGCAACACAATTATCACCCTCTCTCCTCCCTCTGCGTGCCCTCTAAATTTGGGGATGATACAAGGCACACACAGGTGGAAGAGAGGGGGCAGACATATTGTTTCGCTTCCAATCAATGCATGCCTCATAGTTTTCCAGTGAAATCATGTTACTTTTTATGCCACAAACTTTCCAGGTTCCGTGCTTTCCCATTTTTGTTGCACTATAGCACAAGAGTCTCAGGGACGCGGGTGGCGCTGTGGGTAAAACCACAGTGCCTAGGACTTGCCGATCGTATGGTCGGCGGTTTGAATCCCCATGGTGGGGTGAGCTCCCATCTTTCGGTCCCAGCTCCTGCCCACCCAGCAGTTCGAAAGCACCCTTAAAGTGCAAGTAGATAAATAGGTACCGCTTTATAGCGGGAAGGTAAATGGCGTTCCGTGTGCTGCGCTGGTGCAGGCTCGCCAGAGCAGCGATGTCACGCTGGCCACGTGACCTGGAAGTGTCTGCAGACGGCGCCGGCTCCTGGCCTCTAGAGTGAGATGAGTGCACAACCCCAGAGTCTGACAAGACTGGCCCGTACGGGCGGGGGTACCTTTACCTTTACCTTTTATAGCACAAGAGTGCCTCTCCAGGGGACGGCTGTGCATTGGGGAAGCCTCACAGAACAATTAATAAAGCAGAATTATGTGTGAACAGTATAAATCCACCACTTACACACTATTATTGCATCGAAGACATGTTGCAGAGTGAGCGAAATTGACAGATTCATCCATCCCTCCATGTTCCTCCAGAACTGCTTGTGGAAAGCTAAGGCAGATCGCTGAACGTTTTCCCTCCTTTCCCCCCGAAACAGCAATGGACTTTTTTTTGTGTGTGTGTCTTTCTTCCCCAGCTCTTTGATTACATCTCAGAATGCATCTCCGACTTCCTAGACAAACATCAGATGAAACACAAAAAACTACCTCTGGGCTTCACGTTTTCCTTCCCTGTTCGACATGAAGACCTCGACAAGGTGGGATTTGGGAAGGGGGCTCCCTTCTCAATGCTCTCTCTTTCTCCATGAGTTGTTCATTTGAACCATGTATAATGGTAGCCTGGTGAATGTAAGAAATATAACAATATAGCACCTCCAGGCAGGGGGGATACTATAACTCCCATCAGCGCCAGGGAGCACTGTCCAAATGCACAGCAAATCAACAACTTTCCAGAATTTATAGCAGAAGCATCATGCAGAAAGATGTCACACGTGTCACTGATAGTCAGGTACAATCATTCCAGATTCTGGAAGGGTGCTTTTCCACACCTGTCCATTGCTCCAGTTGTTATCCTGTTGCTTTCCACACATCAGTTAATGATGATGATGATGATGATTACATCGCATTGACCCAACGCAGGGATAATTTCCGCCAAAGAGATTTTGCTTATTTCAGGATGTTTCTTCTGATCCTTTAAACCTCTCGGTCTGCAGGGGATCCTATTGAACTGGACTAAAGGCTTCAAAGCGTCAGGAGCTGAAGGGAACAACGTAGTTGGGCTTTTGAGAGATGCTATCAAACGGCGAGGGGTGAGATGAAAACTGTGCTTTGCTGTTCAGTTCATTATTTCTCCTCAGTTGCTTCGTAGGACTGTAAGAAGCTCCCTTATACCAGGTCAGTCTGTCTGTCCATCCATTATCTAGCTCAGAATTTCATGCAGTGAATGGCAGCATTTCAATAGAGTCTTTAGCACAGTTTCTTTCCCACCACATCTTATCTGCTTCTTTTAACTTTGGGCTTATTCCAGACTTACATTTCCTCCATACTTTCTCAGCACAATCCGTGCTTTAAAGTTCTGTGTCCGAAAACTCTTTCTTTTTTTTGCTGTGGAGCCTTCCCTCCGAAAACCCGCTCTTTACAGCTGAATCAAAGCCGATTCTGCTGAAAACCTGAATTGCTGTTTGTTGTCCTTCAGCTTTAGAGAGTGGGTTTTTGCAGGGAAAGCTCTGGGGCAAAAAGAAGAGCACTCAGACATGGGCTGGCAAAGCACAGGCCTGTACGTGGAGCAAGCAGGGCAAAAGTTAAGTGTGGAGAAGCCCCTAGCCAAAGGTGTTGTCAGGTACAGATGGCAACCATTTTGCACAGGGTTTCCATTCTTGACCCCTGGGTGTGTCAACAGAGTCTGCAAAAGCCCACCCAGCCCTGTTCTGCCCCGTTCCGCTCCTGTTCTGCCCTGCCCCTGTTCTGCCCTCTTCTGGGTATAAAAGAGCCTGTGCGTTGGCAGTTGTGCATCAATTGAATGTGCACAAAATGGTCGCCACTTGTCCTTAAAGGATTCACAGATTTGGGGAAGGGCCATGGCTCAGTGGTAGAACATCAGGTTCGATCCCTCACTTCTCCAAGTAAGGCTGAGAGAGAAAGTCCCCCTCCCCCCGGCTTGAAATCCTGGAGAGCTGCTGGCTGTCAGTGTTGACAATACTGAGCTTGATGGACCCCAAAAGCGGCTTCCTATCTTCCTATCAAAATCTGCATGCATCAATACTTCTGGGCAAGATGCAATGGCAAGTGCCTGGCGTCTCACCAGTGTGCACAGCTACCCTTCCTTCCTTTCACGTGTTTTATCCACACACACACACACACCTTACTTCCAGTTTCCCAAGAGTATTATGGCACTATAGTATTCCACGGTTGAGTTTTTGCATCTGTTGGGGACGCGAGTGGTGCTGTGGTCTAAACCACTGAGCCTCTTGGGCTTGCCGATCAGAAGGTCGGCAGTTTGAATCCCCGTGACGGGGTGAGCTCCCGGTGCTCTGTCCCAGCTCCTGCCAACCTAGCAGTTCGAAAGCACACCAGTGCAAGTAGATAAATAGGTACCGCTGTGGTGGGAAGGTAAACGGCATTTCTGTGCGCTCTGGTTTCTGTCATGGTGTTCTGTTGTGCCAGACAGAAGTGGTTAATTATGCTGGCCACATGACCCGGAAAGCTGTCTGTGGCTGTCTGTCTGAGATGAGCACTGCAACCCCATAGCCGCCTTTGACTGGACTTAACCATCCAGGGGTCCTTTACCTTTACCTTTTTACCTGTTCTATCTGTGCTTCTCTTAGTTGGGTTTCTTCTCCTGAACAGCCTTTGATTGCGGTGCTTCTTTCTATCCCTTTGTAGGACTTTGAGATGGACGTAGTCGCAATGGTCAATGACACAGTGGCAACGATGATATCCTGCTACTATGAGGATCACCAATGCGAAGTTGGCATGATAGTGGGTAGGTCACCTCTCCTTTTAATATGCACCTGGGCACAATCAGCTTCAAACTGGGGCTTTAATCCTTATTTCTATTTATTGGACATAGCTTTCTTATACAGGTCAGCCAATTTGTACAATCTAGCCCAGTATTGTGTACTATTACTGGTAACTGCTCACCAAGGTCTTAAGCAGAGGGTCTTCCTCATCACTTGCTACCTGATCCTTTCAATTGAAGCTACGGGGGGTTTAACCTGGGACCACCTGTATACAAAGCATCTGCTGTGTCTCTCGTGAAAGCCATTGTTTCTAGCACTGGTGGGGGACATGTCATGCTCCTTCTGGGATACTTGTCCACCTTTGGTCCCCACCCTGCACTCAGCCCTCACCTGTGGCTCCTAGAAGCTGTCAGAATGCGACAGCGACCACACCCTGGGAAACAGATTTGACTTGCCGGCTAAGCCAAGTGAGGGTAGGCAATGGGTCTCAGTGAGTTAGGGACTTGCCCTGCGTGTGAATACAGGCTTGGGCAGATTGAGTGGACAAGATCAGTAGTGGGCCCAGTGGCCAAGAAGGTGGTTTCTCCTCTACATGCTGTAGAGGAAAGTGAGGGGCAGATGGGACTTGTCAACCTGGTATGGCAGCCCATCTAGGAGAAGGAAAACTCTGATCCTAAACCTCCACTGCCTTGTGGGAATATCTTCAGGAGAAGAAAAGACTAAGGTGTAAGCCCTACACAAATCCAGAGTGGAGTCCCTAAGACAGTTGGATGGCATATGCCTCCTTCTGGCAGCTCCTGCAGCCAAACTGGTATCAAATATATTGCTCTGCTTTCCTTTGGATCACATCAGCAAGACCGGGGGGCAGGACTTGTCCTCTGGGTAGCCCAGGACCTCCTTGCACACTGCCCAGGCTTGCACTCTGGGGAGGTCACTTTGGTACTGCTAACGCAGCAGTTTGACTTCACCCCCAGAGGCAGACAGATGCCAACAACAACATTGATAATGGCCTTAGATATCAGCAGACAGGCTAAAGCTGAAACAATGCATTGGCTGTTACCATTCTCAGCAGTCTTCACACCAGAGACGGATCTACTATAAAACTAATGAAGCCTAAGCTTCAAGGGCCCTGATTCCTGAGGGGGCCCAGAAGCAAATTTGGTCCACATTGCTTAAAAAAAAATCTGGGCCTACCTAGTTGACCCAATTTGAGTGGCACAACTCTAATTTTTTGTTACATATATTTCAACAACCCCAAAGTTTGACAGATGTTGTAAAAGTGCGGTGATCTGTCACGGAGCAACCCCACTGAAGAGGATAACAGTGGTCCTCATTGTTGGTTGCGAAGGGGGGCCCATGACAGTTCAAGTTTTGGGCCCCCTGAAATGTAGGTCCGCCATGGCTTCCCACTGGTGCATTATTGGTGATCATTAGATATATAGTTCTTGTCTATTTAAATTCAAAGGAACTCTATCTATTGATCTATCAATGAATGAATGAATGAATGAATGAATGAATGAATCAATCAATCAATCAATCAATCACCTGTCTGTCTGTCTGTCTGTCTGTCTGTCTGTCTGTCTGTCTAACTATCTATCACATAAAGAAAAGCAGGTGGGTCATGGCCAGACAACTAGAAACACTAATACTGGCATCAGATCCCACTAAAAGCCTGGCCAAAGAACCAGGAATTCAGTAGGCATCTAAAGCTTAGTAGGGTAGATGCCGGTCATATCACAGGGGGAAGTTCCAAAACCAGGGTGGCACCATTAAGAAGGCTACCCGCTGTGTTGCCATATCGTAGACCTCAGTTAAAGATGGCACAGCCAAGAAGGTCTCCTTGGTGGATCTTAACAAATGGACAGGCCTATCCAGGACAAGGTATTGTCTCAGGTATCCCAACCTCAGGTAGCATAAGGCTTTGTAAGTCTCTGTACCTTGAAGCAGGTTCACTAGCATATAGTCAGCCAATGCAGTTATTTCAGAATCAGTGTTATATGTTTGCATTAGGCCACCCCATAGAGAAGCCTAAGCTCTCCAGCAAACTCCACTTGCTAGCCAGTCACGTGAAGTCATCTGATGTCACCTGTCAGTCATTATGTGCATTTGCGCCCTGAGTCCTTCCTGCTGGAAAACCCACCATGAACAACAAGAAAGGTTGTTTTTGTTATGATGTTACTTATTACTTGCTTCCCATGAAGAATGTTGAAGTGATTTCACAGTGTACACACACACACACACACACACACACACACACACACACACAGCAACTGCATATGTAAGAACTGTTAGAATAATTGCATATGAAGGTTGTGCCAGAGTTTCCTATATGACTCTCGTGCGTTGTCCAAATGTGGTGAATTCTCTCTGCGTTTCCATTCTATCAGGCACCGGTTGCAACGCTTGCTACATGGAAGAGATGCAGAATGTAGAGCTTGTGGAAGGGGATGTAGGTCGGATGTGTGTAAACACCGAATGGGGAGCCTTTGGAGCATCAGGGGAGCTGGACGAGTTCCTCTTGGAGTATGATCGTGTGGTGGATGAGACCTCACTTAACCCCGGTCAGCAGCTGTAAGGAATATGACTGATAAAATTAATGTTTATTGCTTTCTTGAGTTTCACACTTCTCATTGTGGATGAGACAAAGAGGATGCCTTTGAGCCGTCATTAATCCTGAGGCACCCCCAACCTAGTACTCTCCAGATGTTGTCAGACTCCATCTGGCTAGGTTGGACGATATGGGATTGGGGGGCAACTCCCATCTTTGACACCTCCCTCTCCATGGAGGCGCAGATTGCAGCTATAACAAAGGCAGCATTTTTTCATCTCCGCCAAGCTAAGCAGTTGGCTCCTTACCTCTCTCGCCCTGACCTAGCCACTATGATCCACGTGACAGTCACCTCCAGACTGGATTATTGTAACTCACTCTACGTGGGGCTGCCCTTGAGACTGACCCAGAAACTCCAGTGGGTGCAGAATGTTGCGGCGAGACTCCTTACGGGGTCCTCGCCGTGGGATCACATTCACCCGGTGCTATACCAGCTGCACTGGCTCCCAGTGGAGTACAGAATCAGGTTTAAGGTGCTGGTTTTAACCTTTAAAGCCCTATACGGCCTAGGACCCTCGTACCTACGGGACCGCCTCTCCTGGTATGTCCCACAGAGGAACTTACGGTCTTCAAACAAAAACTTTTTTGAGGTCCCAGGTGACAGAGAGGTTAGGCTGGCCTCAACCAGAGCCAGGGCTTTTTCAGCTGTGGCTCCGATCTTGTGGAACACTCTGCCACAAGAGACTAGGGCCCTGCAGGACTTGACATCTTTCCGCAGGGCCTGCAAGACAGAGCTGTTCCACCAGGCCTTTGGCCAAGGCACAGCCTGACCCCCTCCTTTGGCAATCCTCACAGAACTCTAGCCCAATGGTTGCCATCAATTTGATTTGAATTAATTTTATAATGAAATGATTTTAGAATGTTGTATTATTTTATTGTTGTTAGCCGCCCTGAGCCCAGCTTCGGCTAAGGAGGGCGGAATATAAATAAAAAATTATTATTATTATTATTATTGTTATCTCTCATCGCCTTCTCACAGCCGATGGTCGGAGAGGATGGGGGTTGGAATCCAAAACATCTGGAAGGCACCAGCAGGTTGGGGAAGCCCGGCCTAGCCCTATCAGCCAAGCGCAGCTCATGGATGGTTTGAAATCAGGGGGGATATTCCCTATTAGTTCACACTAATTTTAAAAGCAGATGTGAGAATCAGTTGGTGTGCGTGGAGAAACTCTAACAGTGGGAACATGATTTGAATCTAGGCATAGTGACTGCATTCCATCCATGGAGTTGCTTTCTGGTCTCTGTAGCGTCCCGAAAGACCTGAGTAAGGCATGTGTCGCAGTTGTGGGATCCTCTGAGATGCAACTGACTCATACTCTCCTGCGCATATTTGCTGGCGAGAAAAATGTGCAGAGCCCAGCAAAGAGGGAGAGGTGGTTGTTTTTCCTGCAGCTCAGAGAAAATAGCATCTTTTGCTGAACAATCAATCTTGAGATCTGAGAGGGTTTGGCTAAAATAAGCTGCAATTATGTCATCTAACAAGTCCTGCCCCCAACCCCAAACAACATGTACCAGTGATTTAATATTCCCTTTCCCCAGGTATGAGAAGATCATAGGAGGAAAGTATATGGGAGAGATCGTACGGCTAGTGCTCCTAAAACTTGTCAATGAAAACTTGCTCTTCAATGGAGAAGCAACAGAGAAGCTAAAAACCAGAGGATCTTTTGAAACCCGCTTTATCTCACAAATTGAAAGGTAGTATGTTTCTTTAAGGTGTTTCTTTTCTTTCTCTCTCTTGACCTGCCCAGGGTTGGTGTCAGGGTTAGGCATTGTAGGGCATTTCCAAAGCCCACACCCCCAGCAAGGGACCCACTTCTGCGCTCTGGAGACTCCTGGCCTTCTGCTTCTCTTCCTCGCTGCCTAATGGTCTAATTCAGTACCAGGCAGCTTCCTATATTCCTAAATATAGAATCAGAGTACTCTAGAGTTGGAAGGTACCCTGAGGGTCATCTAATCTGACCCCCTGCAATGCGAGAACCTCAACACACAGTCCCTAATCCAATTTGAAACTATACCATTATCCCCTCCCCCCAACCTCAGACCTTTGTCAAATGATGAGGAATTGCTAACAGAGCTCTCTTGGCGCTGTGGTGTAAACCACTGAGCCTCTTGGGCTTGCTGATCAGAAGGTCAGCGGTTCAAATCTGTGCGATGGTGTGAGCTCCTGTTGCTCTGTCCCAGCTCCTACCAGCCTAGCAGTTCGAAAGCATGCCAGTGCAAGTAGATAAACAGGTGCCGCTGCGGCCAGAAGGTAAACGGCGTTTCTGTGCACTCTGGTTTCCATCATGGTGTTCCGTTGCGCCAGAAGCGGTTTAGTCCTGCTGGCCACATGACCGGGAAATCTGTCTGTGGACAAACGCCGGCTCCTTTGGCCTGAAAGCGAGATGAGCGCCGCAACACCATAGTCGCCTTGGACTAGACTTAACCATCCAGGGGTCCTTTACCGTTACCTTTTACCTTGAAAGGGGCATTGTTCATGGTCGAGCATCTGCTTCCATGCAGAAGGTCCCAGGTTTAATCCCTGGCATCTTCAGGTACAGCCGCTTGAAAACTTGGAGAGCATCAACAATACTGAGCAACATGGACCCATGGCCCAACTCATTGTAAGGCTGCTTCTTATGTAAACTTCTTTTGAGGAATTCCACTACAATCTTGCGCAAGTAGTTCATCTCATTAGTCTGAACATCCTCAGATGCTAGCACACAGTGGTTGCATTCCCACTGGTTGGAAAATTTAGAGTAGGAATGGGCTGGCCAACATTAGGAGCCGCCTAGACTGTGCTGCCATTTAAGGCTAGCAGATCTGGGCAAGCAGCCCACCCTGGACACTGGGCATTGACTCACCTGGCCGGCTCTCCTGGCTCCAATGATCTCTTCCAGGCTCTTGTGGGTCAGTTGGGGGAGTCAGCTGGAAGAAATCAAATGAGTAAAATTAACAAGGACAATAGTAAGGCCCTCAAAGAGTTCTGTTCCTGCTCTGTGTGGACAGAACTAAGCTGCTCACATTCGGCTTCTACATTAAAAACATAGGAATATAGGAGAAGCCAGCTGGATCAGACCAATGGTCCATCTATTCCAGCATCCTCTTTTCACAGTGGCCAACCAGGTGCCTACAGGAAGACTGGAAGCACAACAGTGCTCTTCTCACTTTGGATTCCCAGCCACTGGCATTCAGAGGCATACCGCATCCAAGTGGCTCAGGGCATGGTGAAACCCATCCCATGGAGTAATATTCAAAACAACCTCCACTACGGTGGTTGTAACTTGTGCCCTACAAGCCCTTGCTCTTCTCCTGCTACAAATTGCATTAGCACCTGGTCCACAGCCACCACATTCTCTCTCTCTCCCCCCCTCCCCGTCTTATGAAGCACAAATCAGTTATATGAGATGAAGCGCACAGGTTGGTTGTGGCCTCCTTCTTCTGGTTTTCCGTTGAGACCTGGGGCGATGAAACACGCCAGCCCCCTCCACGATGACAGTAGTGAGAGCCCTTGTACTTGTCGTTCCCAGTGATCCCGGTGACCGTAAGCAGATTTACAACATCTTGACATCCTTTGGGCTGTTGCCCTCTGTAACAGACTGTGACATTGTCCGTATGGCGTGCGAGAGCGTCTCTACGAGGGCTGCGCAGATGTGCTCAGCCGGGCTGGCCGGTGTCATTAACCGCATGAGAGACAGCAGGTGCGAGGACACGTTGAAGATCACAGTGGGCGTCGATGGCTCCGTCTACAAGCTCCACCCCAGGTGAGACCTACCTACACAGTCTTGCTATATCATGAGGCGTCTAGAGAAGCCTGGGCCTTTCCGAACAATTCATCAGCAGATGTTTAACTATCAACACGCTTCTAAAAGCTGGTGATTTAGCAGCGCACAGCCACTGCTGTTCTGCTTGAAGGTGGAAATGGAATAGCAGCTCTGGGGGACACCCACAATGTACATTGAATGCACGTGGTCCCCCCCCCCAAAAAAGGACCCCAGGAGCTGCAGTTTGTTAAGAGTGCTGGGAACTGCATCTTTTTATAATTGTTATTAATTGGACTACAGTGGTACCTCAGGTTACAGACGCTTCAGGTTACAGACTCTGTTGACCCAGAAATAGTACCCCAGGTTAAGAACTTTGCTTCAGGATGAGAACAGAAATCGCGCAGCGGCGGCACAGTGGCAGCGGGAGGCCCCATTAGCTAAAGTGGTACCTCAGGTTAAGAACAGTTTCAGGTTAAGAACGACCTCTGGAACGAATTAAGTTCTTAACCCAAGGTACCACTGTATATAGAAATTGGGATAATCCTTCAACATCTGCAACGATACAGAGGCCCTCCAGAATGGCGGTGTTGGTTTTGTCTGTGGGTGTATTCTGCTGCATGCCGTTGCTGCAATAAAGTTGTGAATTAGTAGTGAATTTATACCAGACCAACCAAGCATCATTCCACTTTGTTAGTGGTTCTGTGATGCATCCCTAGTTGCCATCTGGAGGAGCTCTCTCTGTAGCGCAACACAAGCAGGACAACACACACATTGCCCATTGTAAGAAAAGTTCCAGGATTTCAGCTGGAAGCTACAAGACATGCACCAAATGGAAACAAAGCAGTACGTTCATCTAGAAATGTTCGCAGGCGCAAACAATTTTGAAAATAAGATTGCGTGTAACAAGGGCTTTTTTCCAGCCGGAACTCACCAGAACTCAATAATAATAATAATAATAATAATAATAATTTATTATCTATACCCCATCCCATCTGGCTGGGTTTCCCCAGCCACTCTGAGTGGCTCCCAACAGAATATTATTAATAATAACAAAAAAAATGATAAAACATCAAACATTAAAAACTTCCCCAAACAGGGCTGCCTTCAGATGCCTTCTAAAAGTCAGATAGTTGTTTATTTCCTTGACATCTGATGGTAGGGCATTCCACAGGGTGGGAGCCACTACCAAGAAGGCCCTCTGCCTGGTTCCGGCACCTCTCAGATGTGTGCCATTGCCATTATAAGAGAATAAGGGAGGTGTTCCAACATCTCTTTTTCTGGAAAAATAGCAATGCGTATAACTGCCCCGGTACCATCATAAGCACAAAACATGATTAATGCTCAATTTTAGAAAATTCTGGAAGGGCCCATATGGTATAGGAATAGAATATTATGTGTATATGTGTTGTTGCTTTTTCTAAGGAAAAGCAGTTTCAGTAGAGAATCCTGCCTGGGGAGCGGCTGGGGAAGGAAAAGAGCGCTTAACTCTTCCCCCACCTACTGTTTTTATGCTGCAACTCCCCTCGGCTGCTTCCCCTTTCATGGGGTTCCAGATGTATGTTTACCTTTGCAAATTAATGTCTGAGGCTGGACCTCTTGGCGGCAAGGATGGATTGGGGAAGAGAGAGACCCAGGAGAAAAGTGGAAGGCAGAGAAAAGGTCAGAGGTGCACCTGCATATAACATTTAGTTTGGCTTTTGTTCAGTCGATTTGAAGGGGGTCACCGTAGACATCTGACAAAGGCACCTCTAGCAGTGGGGTGGTAGAGCAATTTGCCCGTGTTTTTATTATTTGGCCTCATAAAATAGTATCGCTGTTCATTAAGCAGCACCGTGCTGTGGCGGTAGCAAGCTTCACGCTGCTAGGCAGGAGGTAAGAGACAATAGCTGGAAGAGGAAACTCCCCGAGTCTGTGTTCAGAGTCCAGGCCAAAGCTTAAATCTATGAACTGGGGTCTCGGACACACCATGAAGGGCACGTCCGCAAGCTGAGGCAGCTTTTGGCACTGTTCACTGAATGCTGAATTGAGCTAAACTGGAAACCTGGAAATAATCCCTGTTGGAGAAAGGGGCACAGCCCCTCAACAGATATCAGCATTGTTGAAACAGTCTGCATAACGAGTACTGTATTTTTCGCTCCATAGGGTGCACCGGACCATAGGGCGCACCTAGTTTTGGGAGGAGGAAAACAAGAAAAAATTATTCTGAATCCCAGGTGCCAGAACAGCAAGAGGGATCTGGCTTCTGGGATACCGTGTGGCTGTTCTGGCTTCTGGGATAACTGCGCCAAGCCTCTTCAGGGCAGTGGGATGAAGGCTCCCCCTGCCCGAAGAGGCTGCGCAGGGCTAAGGCAGAAGCTAGGACAGGCGCATCACTGAAGGGGCGCTTCCCCTTCAGCGAAGCTGGAGAAGGAACAGAAGGAGACCCTTCTCTTCCTCCTCCGGCTTTGCATGACAGGCGCGTCGCTCAAGGGGCGCTGCGCCTTCTCTCTCTCTGCGCAGAGAGGGAGAAGGCGCAGCACCCCTTCAGCGAAGCTGGAGAAGGAACAGAAGGAGACCCTTCTGTTCCTCCTCAGGCTTCGCTGGACAGGCACGTCGCTGCGAAGCGGGAGGAGGAACAGAAGGAGTCCCTTCTGTTCCTCCTCCAACTTCACAGGAGAGGCGATGCGCAGAGAGGGAGAAGGCGCAGCGCCCCTTCAGCGAAGCTGGAGAAGGAACAGGAGACCCTTCTGTTCCTCCTCCGGCTTCCAGGTCAGGCACGTCGCCGCGAAGCTAAGGAGCCTGCATTCGCTCCATAGGACGCACACACATTTCCCCTTCATTTTTGGTGGGGGAAAAGTGCGTCCTATAGAGCGAAAAATACGGTAGTTTAGTCAACTGACTGGTTGCATTAATAGAATATACATCTCTGTATCTTGTGATTTGTTGGGGGCATGGGAAACAGAACATAGCATCTGATTTGCATGTAGAACGCCCCATGTTCCATCCCTCACATCTCTAAGTAGGGCTTCTAGATGACTTATGTACAGTGGTGCCTCGCAAGATGAAAAGAATCCTTTCCGCGATTCTCTTCGTCTAGCGGTTTTTTCGTCTTGCGAAGCAACCCCATTAGCGGCTAAGCGGATTAGCGCTATTAGCGGTTTAGCGGCTTAGCGGCTATTAAAGGCTTAGCGGCTTGGCTGCTAAAAGGCTATTAGCGGCTTAGCGGCTCAGAAAAAGGGGGGGAAAGCAGAAAAAAAATGGCGAGACTCGCAAGACATTTTCGTCTTACGAAGCAAGCCCATAGGGAAATTCGTCTTGCGAAGCGCATCGCAAACGGAAAACCCTTTCATCTAGCGGGTTTTCCATCTTGCGAGGCATTCATCTTGCGGGGCACCACTGTATTGAGAATTCATCCTGATTTGCTTGAAGCCCGCTTAGATGTTGATGTGTCAAAGCGAGTGTTACCCCACACTTCACCATCGCTTTCCCTACCACGAAAAGTCCAGCCTTTAGGGAAGATGATTTGTTGCGTAAGACCATAAGTCAACTGCGATCGTGCAACCTGAATATGCTGGTGTGTGGTTGGATCCTGCTTGAAAACAGCAACAGTCTGGAAGCTTCTTGGAATCCCAGAGAACCGCTGTTAGTTAGCATAGACAATTCTGGCCAAGATAGACCAATGGTGTGACTCAGTTTAGGCAGTTCCTTGTGTGAGCCTGTTTCAACCTTGGGTCCCCAGATGATGTTAGACTATATTTCCCATCAGCCTCAGCCAGCTTAGCCAATGGCCATGGATGATGGGAATTGCAGACTAATAACATGTAAGGACCCAAAGTTGAAGAACTCTGCCATATGTTATTGCTATTTGCAAAGGGGGAAAAGCAAAACTTAATTCCGTGCAGGCTCCGCATCCCCAAAGAGCTGTGCAAAACTGCTTACTGTATTTATTATTCTATTTGTTTATTTAGCAACCTCTACATACCACTGGGTCCAGTTCCAGTGGGTTCTGCTGAAGTACCAGTGCCTTGGTACCTGGCCTAGCATACCATGTGCTGATACCAGGTCTGCTTGGCAGAGGACATTTAGAGATGGGTCTCTGGAGAAGGTCTCAATGTTCAGTAGAGTTGGGAGGGGATTTGATACATTTCATATTTTAAGGTGAATTTACCAAATTTGCCCTTTCCAAAACATGGTGTGAAGTGAAACCTAGCCATCTTTGGAAATGTTCTCTTGTCCGAAATTTGCAGTTCAGTTCTCCAACCAAGTAATGTGTACAATAGTGCAGATAAAAGCGTGCGTATGATTGCATTAGTGAAAAATACATACAAAATGCATCATATTAGATTACAGTGCTTTGCCAAAATGTGTATATTAGGCAAAATTATGCACACTAAAATGCTGATGAATTTTCATGAGGACTTAAAAAAAGAATACAGTGGTACCTCTGGATGCGAACGGGATCCGTTCCAGAGCCCCGTTTGCATCCTGAAGTGAATGCAACCCACTTCTGCGCGTCTGTGCATGCGCGGGTCGAGATTCGCCACTTCCACGCATGCGCATGACGTCATTTTGAACGTCTGCACATGCACGAGTGGCGAAACCCGGAAGTAACATGCTCCGTTACTTCCGGGTTGCCGTGGAGCACAACCCGAAAAGGCTTAACCTGAAGTGACTTCAACCCGAGGTATGACTGTATATACAGTGGTACCTCGGGTTAAGTACTTAATTAGTTCTGGAGGTCTGTTCTTAACCTGAAACTGTTCTTAACCTAAAGCACCACTTTAGCTAATGGGGCCTCCTGCTGCTGCTGCGCCGCTGCTGCACGATTTCTGTTCTCATCCTGAAGCAAAGTTCTTAACCCAAGGTAATATTTCTGGGTTAGCGGAGTCTGTAACCTGAAGCGTATGTAACCTGAGGCATATGTAGCCCGAGGTACCACTGTATATATGCACACTAAAATGCTGATGAATTTTTCGTGAGGACTTAAAAAACAATAATAAATCTGCAACCTGCTGTGGAGAAAAACGAGGAACGGAGAGAACTGGAAGTCAACGTATGTCCATTCCTAAAACCCAGACAGATTTATGTAGAGAGGTGTATTTCCCTTCTCAATTTCTCCCCTTGTCTTTATCTCTCTCTTTTTTGACCCAGCTTCAAAGATCGGTTCCACGCAGCAGTCAGGCAACTTACACCGGACTGCGACATCACCTTCCTGCAGTCGGAGGAAGGCAGTGGCAGGGGAGCGGCTCTCATCTCGGCAGTCGCGTGCAAGATGGCGTGCATGATTGGCCAATGAAATGCCGCTGCGAAAGGACCGTGAAAGGGATGCCACCGACCTGGGAAGTGCCCCCTCCACCCACTGCCAGGCTGAGGTGTTTCAGGGTGTGCCAAGGAAGCAGACCCAGAAGACGGAAGGTTTTCCTGGGGGGGTGGGGAAGGGGGAGGGAATGGAGTGGTGTCGGGTTCCTCCGAACCTCTGCCTCTACACAACACAATAACCGTGCAAAAATAGTCTCTCCTTTCTGTCCTTAAAACCTTCTCCACTCCTGCAAGCTCTGGGGAGGGTTTCAATTTATGCAATAAGCAGCTTCTCATAGTACAGTGGGGGGGGGCTGTTTGGAGAGGTGGTGTTGCAGGGATGGGAAGTCAGGAAGGGAATAAGTTTTGCTTTCTTTCTTTTCTTCGTTGGACAGCTCAGGAAGCAGGGATCTGGGCAAAATGGCATCTAGTTGCAAAGTACGGTTTCTTCCTCAGTAAATGAGGTTGGGAAGGTGCAATTCAAGCTGCCGTTATCAGCCACTGATGAGCATAGTGCAGAGAAGGCAACTTTGAGTAGACACATTCTCCAACCTTCTCCTCCTCCTCTGGTTTCCAAGACACTAATGGTTTCCGTGTGAGTTTGTGAGTCAGCTTGAGCACAGAGTCCTCATCAGGAGAAGAGCACAAGTGAAAAGTCAGGTTTTTGCATTATTTCCGGCACTTTCCACCTTCACCAGATTTAAATCCAAAGCTTGCAATCTGGTCCCAATACTATCGCCAGTCCAAACTGTCATTTCCACAGAGACAGATATCCTGGACCATCTCTATGTCGTTTTTTTAGAAAAAGGATCAGTCACCATTAACATGGCGGGAGCTTGAGACTGAACAGGGCCCAAGAGAGCAAGCAAAGGCCGTAAAGCATTTTATGACATGAGAGTTGTCTGCTTGGGTACAGCTCGCCTTGCCTGGATCCCACCCTTGTTTCAATAATTCTGGAAAGCAAGTAATATACAGACCGCAAGTAATATACAGACCGCAATTACAGACAGTAATATACAGACCAGCAAGTAATATACAGACCTTGGAACAAATTCAGTTCCAAGGCTCTGCACACCTCAAAGGGATGTGTGTGATGCATAACCAGATAGGTAAGCACTTGGGTCAGGGGGGAGTCATTTCTCTGGGACACTGCTTGCCCACCTGTGATGAGTCCACTAGTGTGCATGGGACATAGTGGGATGAAACCAGCCCCCTCCACCTGCAAGCATGTTAAACCTGCCACAGGGCGAAAGGTGAGTTGCAATTGCATGTGTGACTTGAAGTGGGAAAGTAACAGGCTTCAGTCTGGAAGCTCCTAAGATTTACTGAAGACGGGTCCATTCTGTTTTTAAAATGTAATGTCTTGGGCATCCCTCAGCAGCAACTACAGAAAGTTTGATCCCCCTGATTTCAGCTCGTACAGATGTTTGACCCAGATTATCTCTCCTCACTGTCATAATATTGTTTATTTCCCACTTTTTTTGGTTCTTTTTCCTCTGTCTCCTGCTATCCTCCTTATGGATCCAGGGGCTCTTTTATATTAAAAAATAATAAGAATAAAAAAATAAAAAAATCTTTTTAAACTTGCCCGTGTCGTATCTTTTTTTGTTTTTGTTTATCAAACCTTACGCCTGCGTTACAGTGTGGAGTGGAGTACAAAGCAATGGCAAGCCTATGCATATTTACTTGGATGTAAATTCCACTGTATTTGGTGGGTCTTACTCCCAGGTAAGTAAGAACAGGATTACAGCCAGCTGAGATTTGTAAAAGGAGGGGGGCTGTTCTATGAGACTCTAATCCATTATATTATCCCACCCTCAGTATTCTACCCTGCCCAACAACAGCCAGTTATTATATTTGACTTTCCCCCTTTTCAGATCAAGACAAGCTGGTGACAACAAAGACCCAGTTTGGGGTTCTCTCCTTGCCTTGTTAGGTTCACCCCCGCTGATGTCCACGCCATGTAGCATTGCAAAACTGTACCTCTTCTAGCACAATGAAAACTGGAGGTTCTCCATACAGTCATTATGCAGTTGCATATGAGCAGAATAGTTCATTTATGACACTTCCATCCCAGCCTAACGTCAGGGCAGTGCACATGGATTTAACTCACAACCGTGGGAAGTAGCTTACCCTCAGGTAGGCAATGCTAACTTGTAATCACGCCTGAACCATCTTTAATGTTTTGAAAGATGGAGTTCCAAAGCAGTGGGGTCACCACTGAAAAGGCCATGTTCCAGGTACTCTCTAATCTTATAGGTCTTAAGAAAGCAGAACCTCAGGTGCTGATGTTAGTGCACAGGGAGGCTGGTCCCAAACCACATGTATGGCTTTAAAAGCCTACTGGAAATAAGGGTATGAAAACAATTAGGCTGTCAGTGCAGTTGGTACAAATTGGTATAATTGGTCAGAAGGCCTGGCTGCCACAAGTGTTCTATTATATAACATATAAACCTGTCATGAAATGTGCCCATGAAATGGTGTCTGTATGCTGTTTTTCATTCTCCTCAGTAGAATACTACCTTTCTTGTAAAGAATGCAGAATTTTATCCAGCGCAACTTTACCTAACTTTGTGCCACAGCAGTAGAATAAGCTGCACCTAACAAGTATATTTCTGTGCAAATATACACACGTTAAAAGCCCCATTTCATCGCAAAACAAACCTTCAAGGAGCGTAAGCCAGTGGTAGAAACAGCCGCAGCAAATGTCTCCTGGTCCAAAAAGCACATTTCAAAAACGGCAATGCATTTTAATTTCAGGATTTTTGGAGCTGCTAAGTGCAGAAGCTGCAGCGTAAGACCAGAATGCCCCATCTTGCCAGATATTCTCTCGGAGATGGGTTTAAGGCAGTGTGACTGGTCCCCGCCCCCTACTGGATGCAGAGCTTGGGGGCGCGCGCTGCAGGGCATAACAACTATAGCGTAGTGCATGAGTAGAATGGAAGGTGAGAGACGGGTGCACCAAATTTTGGCCTTGCAAGGGGCACTGCTGAAATTTGAAAGACCGAAGTACACCCTTGATTCTTTTTAATGATGGAGAACAAAACTGAAACTGTACTGTGCATGCTGTCTTCTCGGATTCTGTGGAATTCCAAGCAGTCATGTTTTAGAGAAAGGAAGAGCTGTCTGTAAGTGTGGTGAGACCACAGATGTGTAGCATGGGCCAGGCCAAGTAGTGAGCAAATTCCACAGGCAACAACCAACAGTCAAAAGGATTGGCTGAGCGCATACCATGCATCACTCAAAGAATCCTGGGATCTGTAGTTTATCCATCACAGAGTTATAACACCAGCACCCTTATCAAACTATGGTGTCCGTTTTAAATATACATGGTGTGCATGCAGCCATAATCCTAGAAAAGGAAGAGGTTGCTGGACAACTTCAAGGTAGAACTTTGCATGCATAAGGTCTTAGGTTTGATCCCTGGGATTTCCAGGTAAGGCAGAAATGTCCCCTGTCTGAAGGTTTAGTTTGGCCAGGGTTCTGCCTGGGTTCCTATGTTGCTTATGTTCCTATGTGTATCTTTAAATCCGACTTGGGACTAGACAGCCCGTCAAATTTATGGCGCATAGAAATTCCTCTTTCAGGGGACAATTTTAAATGCCCCCTCTAATTATAAGGCAGCTTACAAAGTAACATACAAAAATGCATTACCGGTATATTAGGGAAAATTGCTTTGCAAAAATGTGTCTGTTAGGCAAAATTGTATACACAAAATGTGTAAATTGGAAATGTGAAGTAAAATGCTGGTGAATTTCCATGGGGGTTCCACCCCCTGCTGCCTTTTACTTGCAAACTAAAGCAGAAATAAGTACAGTGGTACCTCTGGTTACGTACTTAATTCATTCTGGAGGTCCGTTCTTAACCTGAAACTGTTCTTAACCTGAAGCACCACTTTAGCTAATGGGGCCTCCTGCTGCCGCTGCGCCGCCGGAGCACAATTTCTGTTCTCATCTTGAAGCAATGTTCTTAACCCGAGGTACTATTTTTGGGTTAGCAGAGTCTGTAACCTGAAGCGTATGTAAGCTGAAGCATATGTAACCCGAGGTACCACTGTATAGAGAACTGAATTTAGGATTGGAAAAATGAGAAACTGAAATTGACAAGTTCCCTCATGCCTAGCGAGAAAGGAGACAGAAAGAAAGCAAGGACCTAAAGGTCACATATATAGTCCCGTTTAAATACAGGCCTAAATAATGATAATCCTGGCACTACTGCATAGAGAAGGAAGATGGGAGACTCCATTCAGAGTGGAACACTCAGCTTAGGAATGCCTCCTCTCTCCATCAGCAAAGCCTACAATGCGCTATGACATCCAAACCTTATCACTTCTCAGCACTGGGGACTGCCAAGTTTGGCTCTCTCCTCCTGCCACCGGGCTCCTAATTTAGCTCACCAAGTGATAAGCTGTGGGATATAGCCTGAGCTGATGCTTGACACCATCCAGAACTTCTCTGTTCTTCAGAAGGACATCCAGAATGGTGAGTACGCTCTGTCTCTCTGCTTTTGCATATATTCTTCATAGCACTGAGCTTTTGGTTGATCACACATAAAGGTTGAACTGTTATCCTGTTCCACCGAGGAAGAAGGAGAAACTAAGCAAAGGGAGAGAGCAACGGTTCATAGAATCATAGAATCATAGAGTTGGAAGAGACCACAAGGGCCATCGAGTCCAACCCCCTGCCAAGCAGGAAACAGAGCACTCCTGACATATGGTTGTCAAGCCTCTGCTTAAAGACCTCCAAAGACGGAGACTCCACCACACTCCTTGGCAGCAAATTCTACTGTCGAACAGCTCTTACTGTCAGGAAGTTCTTCCTAATGTTTACAGGTTCAGCCTGTATGCAGGCAAGTGAGAGATGGAGAAAGGGTGTTGTCTGTGCAATGACTGGGAAGATCTAATACCCAAGGGATGGTGGCGAATATTCGCTCACGTTTGGAAGGATGCAACTATGAAGAAACAGGAGATGGTACCTGTCCCTGGTAGCACCCAGTCCTGTTTGTGTCCTGTTTTGCCTGTCAGGGAAATAATCCAGGATGCTTGCTTTTTAAAATTAAGTTAGTGTGTACACACATATGCCACAAATTTCTTCAGCTTTCAGTTCCCTCTCCCGGTTCTCTGAATGGGTTTCTGAATGGGTTTGATGGCTCTTCCCCAGGGATGGGGAATCTGTGGCACAATTTTGTCAGGCATGATAGGATCTGTAGTCCAACAACCTCTGGAGATGTTTAGAACAGGTTTCCTCATTCTAAATACTTGTCCGCTGTTCATCCCTAAATACACACATGCCAGTGGACTGCTCTCCTTCATCCCCATTCCCTACAGCACACCGATTGTTAGTGGCTGCCAAGATTGCAGTCCTAAACACTGTTACTAGAAAGTAACCCTCCCTGAACCAATTAGGTTGTGCATCTGATTGTGATGTAAATGTGTTTTTGAATCGCAGCAGTTCCATAACACGACAACTTATCCAGTGTGGGATTAAACCGTCCAGTGAACATATTGAAGTTTGTGTATGTGCTTTTTGTCAGCTTTGGAAGCCAGGGCAGGATAGGCTATCGCAGAGCAAATCTATCTAATGCTCAGCAGGTGAATTAAAAATTGAGATTGAGATTCCTGCATTTCAGGGGGTTGAACTAGATAACCCTCAGGACCTCGACCAACTCTACAATTTGATGATTCAGTAACCTGAGCCCACAACTAATCCCCTAGGGCAGAGTTTTCCAAACAGAGCTTTCCAACCTTTCCATGTTGGTGACACACTTTTTAGACGTGCATCATTTCGCGATGCAGTAATTCAGTTTTACTAGCAAACTGGAGGTTAAATAACCTCTATTCCAGCCCTGGGAGGAGCATTCGCACGACACACCTGCACACTGCAGCCAACACACTATCTAGAGTTGTAGCCAATGTAGCATTAAGAAAACAATTCTGTTTTCACAAGGATTTATGCTTGTGCAATGGAACTTTCCTCCCTTCCCTTCCCCACCCCCTAAATCTGTTCTGTGGGATCCCTCAATCCTCTGGAGCAGTTTTGGAAAGAAAGAGAGAGGGGAGAAGGTGGGGAAAGTAGTGCGAGTGTAAATCTTAGTACTAATGAAATGAGTGTGCTGGATCTTGTCTCTCCAGTCTGCTAGTTGGGCTAAGCATAATGAGTGCTGTGGTTTACGTCATCCCAATGTGTCAGGTGTACTGACTGGTACTGTTGTAACCTGTTACTCTTCTTGTTGTTGTTGTTGTCGTTCAGGCCAGCAGAAAAGCCGGCACTCGGAGCAAAGCTGCTGCAAAGCATGCCCAGAGGAGCTCCTCCAATGTCTTCTCCATGTTTGAGCAGTCGCAGATCCAAGAGTTCAAGGAGGTGAGATGCTCAGGGGTTGTTTTCCTGTTCAGCCAAGGAAATGAGTTCCAAGCCTGAACTCAGCCTGTATCCAATGGAGTAAAACTGACAAAGGTGGACTCTGTGAGTCAGGTCTATTTTACCTGGCAGTGGGAATAAGTCTTTGCTACCTGGTGGTAACTCTGAGGTTTCAGATGGGAGTCTGCCACAGCTGCCAACCTGGAGAGGTCAGGGACTGGATCTGGGCTG